TTATTCTGGGGTTATTAATAAACAAAAGTGATTCTATTAATATAAAAAGTAGGATTTAAGTGGTTTCAAGTAATAAGAGACAGAACAATGTAATTCACAAAGCAAAATAAAACAAAACAGGCATGTCTAAGCCTAATACATTAAGAAACTGATTACAGGTAATATCTCACCCTCAGAGATGTTCCAATAAGTTTCTTTCACAGACTAGTCTCCTTCTTAGTCTGGGCCCAATCCTTTCCCCTGGTACAGTCTTTGTTTGATCCAGCAGACATCTCAGGAGATAAGCAGGAGTTTCCTCATGACTGGCAGCGCACTTTGTCCTGCTCCACCTCCTTTTATAGTTGTGGCACAAGGAGGGAATCTTTTGTCTGTGCTTGGCCCCCACCCCTCCTTCTGAATGGAAAAGTACAAGATTTCAGATGGATTTCAGTGTCAGGTGACATGGTCACATGTCCCTGTGAGACCTCATTCTTCATTACCCACGGGCCGGCCCACACGTACACAGGAAGGCTTGCAGGTAAACGAGCCATTTACAACTCGTTGTTTCTGAAGCACCCTTAATGGTCTCCACTTAATCTGACTACATTAGTAGTACAAGTTTATACCTTATATTTCTAACTTCAGAAGTAAGAATGATACATGCATACGAATAGGAAAATCAAATTCAGCACATTATAAGAACGTAACAACATAAGAACAGCTGTACCGGGTCAGACCAAAGGTCCATCTAGCCCAGTATCCTGTCTACCGACAGTGGCCAATGCCAGGTGCCCCAGAGGGAGTGAACCTAACAGGTAATGATCAAGTGATCTCTCTCCTGACATCCATCTCCACCCTCTGACAAACAGAGGCTAGGGACACCATTCCGTACCAATCCTGGCTAATAGCCGTTAATGGACTTAACCACCATGAATTTATCCAGTTCTCTTTTAAACGCTGTTATAGTCCTAGCCTTCGCAAAGTCCTCAGGCAAGGAGTTCCGCAAGTTGACTGTGCGCTGCGTGAAGAAGAACTTCCTTGTATTTGTTTTAAACCTGCTGCCTATTAATTTCATTTGGTGAGAACTAGTTCTTGTATTATGGAAATAAGTAAATAACTTTTCCTTATCCACTTTCTCCACATCACTCATGATTTTATATACCTCTATCATTTATATACCTTAGTCTCCTCTTTTCCAAGCTGAAGAGTCCTAGCCTCTTTAATCTCTCCTCATATGGGACCTATTCCAAACCCCTGATCATTTTAGTTGCCCTTTCCTGAACCTTTTCTAGTGCCAGTATATCTTTTTTGAGATGAGGAGACCACATCTGTACGCAGTATTCAAGAGGAGGGCGTACCATCGATTTATATAAGGACAATAATATATTCTCAGTCTTATTCTCTATCCCCTTTTTAATGATTCCTAACATCCTGCTTGCTTTTTTGACCACCTCCGCACACTGCGTGGACATCTTGAAAGAACTATCCATGATGACTCCAAGATCTTTTTCCTGACTCGTTGTAGCTAAATTAACCCCCCTCATATTGTATGTATAGTTGGGGTTATTTTTTCCAATGTACATTACTTTACATTTATCCACATTAAATTTCATTTGCCATTTTGTTGCCCAATCACTTTCCAGTAATATGGTACAAGAGACCTTTTGCATAAAGCGCATTCCACCTGTCATTTTCAGATTCATAAGCCTATTTTCATAGAGCATATAGATTGCAAGTCACAGTAATGAACTATCATTTTAAAATATACACAGATAAAGAGAGCAGCCAATTCCCGTCTCTGCCTTAGCACAGAGCCCAAGAGTTCTCACCTCCCTTTGGGAAGGTCCCTTAGTTAATGTTTACTCCTAAAGCTGGATAAATTGCACCGAAGTGCAGACATGGAAGAAGAGGCATTAGCTAGAGTGTCTCCGGTCTCCAGCCTGTTTGCATCCAGATGCTGTTTCTTCCCTCGAGGCTGAGCGAACCCCCCTGGGATTGCACAGAGCTATATTATAATGGTGCACACCCCTGTGTCAGCTCTCGGCATGGGATGTTGCTGCAGATGCTGGAGTAGAGGTGTGGAACACGGCTACCTGAGGGGGATTCCCAGGGAAGACACTTCTGTCTCAGGATTCACAGGTACCCATCTCTTGCTCAGGAGCTCACCTGCTCGACAATCCCAGTGCAATGTGGGCATGATGGGATAGAGAGTAAGACTGTGCTCCTTTCTGCTCTGCACAGCCATTACATTTTCTTTTAGCAGTGTTATCTGTTCAGACTTTCAATGTGACTGAATGTTCCCTTGTTCGTGCCTGGTGAGACAGAGTAAATATAAACGCTTGATCTAGTTTCTTTAGCGACAGATTCATAGGGCTCATGGTCAGAAGGCACCATTCGATCATCCTATATTACCTCCTGTATAATACTGGGTTTTACATTTCACCCAGTTTCCCCTGTATTGAGGCCAAAGACTTTTGTTTGACTAAGACTGGTCTACGGTACGATTTCACATCATAGAATCATAGAGCCACAGGGTGAGAAGGGACCGTGAGGAACATCTCGACTAACCCCCTGCCAAGATGCAGGATTTGTTGTCTCTAAACCATCCAGGACAGATGAATATCCAGCCTTCATTGGAAAACTTCTAGCGAAGGAGCTTCCACGTCTGTTCCATTGTCCTCCTGGCCTTACAGTTAGGAAGTTTTTCCTGAGATTTCATCTAAATCTGCTCTGCTGTAGTTTGAACCCACTGACTCTTGTCCCACCTCTGTTGGAAGAGAGAACAACTTTTCTCCATCTTTTTTTATGGCAGCCTTTCAAATATCTGAAGACCTCTGTCATGTCCCCTCTCAATCTCGTCTTTTCCAAACTAAACATATCCAGTTCCCTCAGCCTTTGCTCATTTGATTTGTATTCCATCTCTTTGATCATCTTTGTCTCTCGCCTCTGGATCCTTTCCAGTTTCTCTACATCCTTCCTATACATCGGTGACCCAAACTGGACACAATATTCCAGCTGAAGCCTAACCAGTGCCCAGTAGAGGAATACTATCACTTCCCATGACTTGAATGCTGCTAATACATCCTAAAACTCTATTGTCTTTTTTGCAATAGCAAATAAATCCGCTCCCCTGAGACATGTAGATATATCAGCCTAACCCCAGTGTAGACCCCTTCATGAGGTTAACCTAGTTACCATTTTCTGCAGCCCCCAATCCTTTTTGTGACTCTTCTGCACATTCTCCAAATTTCGTTTCACCAATGCCATATGCAGAGGTAAAATCCTTCCCCTGCTCCAACTCACCACTACGATGAGTTGGTTGTCTACAGTGACCTGTAAATCCTTTTCAGGGTCCCTCAATTCCATAATACAGTGATTGAGTCTGTGAGTCATTCCTGCCTTCCCTGTTCCGAGATGATAACTTTGCATTTGACTGTATTAAAACATTTGTGTCTGCCCTGGCTGCCTCATTGTAACCACTCTGCCAAGTTTGGGTCCCCTGCTATTTTATCTGCAGTGATTTTCTATTTGTTTCCAGATCACTGATGAAAATATTGAATAGCATTGGTCCAAGAACTGACCCCTGCAGAACTGCACTAGAAACACCCCCATTCCCTGCAATGCCCCATTGACAACTGCTTCCTGAGATTGGTCAGCTAGCCAGTTTTTAGTCTATTTTACGTGTGGTCTACTGATATTGAATAGTGTTACTATCTGAATGTTTTCCCCGACTACATCAAATGCCTCAGAGACAGTTCCCTTGGTCAACCAAACATGTACAGCCATTAAAGGATGAAAACTTATTTGGCAAGACCTGTTTCCATAAACCCTGTTGGTGACTCACATTAATTATATTCCTTGAGTTTTTTGTTAAGGAATCCCATGCCAGATTTTCCATTTTTCCTAATCTTGTCAAATCTTTTTTTTAAAAACTTTCCCTTTAATTTTTAAACGTTTATGTTTCTGCTGTTTGTAACTCTCAGGTTCTACATCACTTCATCTGATATGACTTCTTTACTTTCTTTACCGTGGAATTGTGGCTTGTTAGCTATGTAATAAGCTTTTCTTAAAGAACTCCCATTTTCATTCCCATTTTTCTGAAATTTTTTCCCCTCCCAACCAGTTTTGTGGATAATTTGTCATCTTTGAGGAATTAGCCCTTTTGAAGCACTAATTATCTATAAATATTACTGTCTGGGAGCTGTTCTCTTTGTCCATTGGAATGTAATCAGTTCCATTCTGCTATTTTGTTCTCCTCTATCATATGCCCCCTTCTTTGTGGCTTCTCTAAACTCAACAGTCCCAGACTTTTCAGTCTGTCCGCATACGGCAGCCTCCACCATTCTCACAGCCTGTCTCAGAAATCTGCTTTCCATCTGCTATATCTTTTATAGAGACTGTGTGATCAAAAGTGAGTGCGTTTCCAGAGCAGGTTGTTCTCCACCCCATTAGTTAGGCATCTGAACATTTGCTTTGTTTTGGCCGCTACTGTGAATGAGCAGGTGTTTCCATGGAACAGCTATCGATGACACCCTGGTCTTTTCCCTGAGGTGGTTCTTTTTGGAATGTTTCCCCTTGGTACATGGATTGGCAACGCTTTGGGGGTTTTTGGTTTTTTTTTTACAATTTCAGATTTTGAGCAACTGGGTGCCTCAGGGAATATCATGGACTTTCTAGCCTGGCTTTCACTGCATTAAGGAAGAATGAGGGATAACCAGTATCCACACGTCTGTTTCCTGCTGGTGCCTATTAAGGTTTCCCAGACCACAATGTGTAGAAATTTTTGATGCATGGAGGACTATCAAATATGGAATTGGCATTAGTAGAGTCAGTTGTTCATAAATCATTTCTTTTGTTCCTCTTCACACACATTTTCATTTTTCAATCTGCTTCACCCATGAGAAAAGTATCCAGTAGTGCATGTAGTGTCTCATATTAACATTGTCTCTCCATCCAGGCTTTTGTACTACAACCATCACCCTGGGCCCTGGGAACACCTCAGAGTTGAACAACTTCTCCCCTCCTCCATGTCAGATTCCAACAAAACCGACTTCACCAACCCCTCCACCTTCATCCTGCTGGGCATTCCGGGCCTGGAGGTGGCCCATGTCTGGATCGCCATCCCTTTCTGCACCATATATACCATAGCCATCTTGGGGAACTTCATCATCTTGTTAATCGTGAAGACGGAACCAAGCCTCCATGGACCCATGTACTATTTCCTCTGTATGCTGGCCGTCACTGACCTGGTCCTGTCCACGTCCACTGTGCCCAAAATTCTGAGCATCTATTGGTTCAATTCCAGGGAGATCGATTTCAGTGCCTGCCTCACCCAGATGTACTTCATTCACTGCTTCTTAGTGATGGAGTCTGGGATCTTCGTGGCCATGGCTTTTGATCGCTACGTGGCCATCTGTGATCCCCTCAGACATTCCACCATCCTGACAAACTCCATGGTTGCCAAGATCAGCCTGGCCGTGGTGCTGCGCGGCTTCATGCTCATACTGCCCTATCCTTTCCTAGTGAGGCAACGGCCATATTGCAGAACCAACATCATCCCCCACACGTACTGCGAGCACATAGCTGTGGTGAACCTGGCCTGCACCGACACACGTGTCAGTAGTTACTATGGCCTCTTTGTAGTGTTCTGTGTGAGGGGTCTGGATATGATTTTTATCGCTGTGTCCTACACCCAGATCCTCAAGGCCATCTTCAGCCTCCCCACAAAGGATGCCCGGCTCAAGGCTTTGGGGACCTGCAGCTCCCACCTCTGTGTCATCTTAACCTTTTACATCCCAGTTATTTTCTCCTCCCTCACGCACCGGTTTGGCCACAATGTGCCCCTGCATTTCCACATTCTCATTGCCAACGTGTACCTCCTGGTGCCCCCCATGCTAAACCCCATCATCTACGGAGTGAGGACCAAACAGATCCGGGACAGGCTGCTCCGGCTCTTTACAAATAAAGGGACTTAAAGTTTTTCCTGGTGCTCTGGCTCTCAGACCGAGCTCCGTGCAGAGCTGGCTGGCGACATGGTGCTGGGCCCCCTTCCCTGAGTCACTGACTGGACAGTCACAGAGACATTAGACCCTTTCCTGACCTTATTGTGCTGTGTCAGTGTGAGAAACTGGGGAATCGGTCAGTGTATAACTCATTGGGTTGCAACCTTCTAATTACTGATAACTGGACCTCTGAGAATATAAGAACATAATAATGGCCATACTGGGTCAGACCAAGGATCCATCTAGCCCAGTGTCCTGTCTTATGACAGTGGCGAGTGCCAGGTGCCCCAGAGGGAATGAACAAAACAAGTAATCAAGTGATCCATCCCCTGTCACCCATTTCCAGCTGCTGGCAAACAGACACCATTCCTTCCCATCTTGGCCATTGATGGACCTTCACAACATCCTCTGGCAAGGAGTTCCACAGGTTGGCTGTGTGTTGTGTTAAGAAATACTTCCTTTTGTTTGTTTTAAACCTACCGCCTATTAATTTGATTTGGTAGCCCTTAGTTCTTGTGTTATGAAAAGGAGTATATACCACTTGCGTATTTACTTTATCCACACCAGTTATGATTTTATAGACCTCTATCATATCCCCCCTTAGTCATCTCTTTTCCAAGCTGAAAGGTCCCAGTCTTATTAATCTCTCCCCATACAGAAGTCATTCCATACCTCTAATCATTTTTATTGCCCCTTTTTGAACCTTTTCCAATTCCAATATATCTTTTTTGTGATGGGGCAACCACATCTGCACACAGTATTCAAGATGTGGCCGTACCATAGATTTATATAGTGGCATTATGATATTTTCTGTCTGATTATCTATCCCTTTCCTAGTGATTCCCAACATTCTGTTCACTTTTTTGACTGCTGCTGCACACTGAGTGGATGTTTTCAGAGAACTAGTCACCATGACCCCTGGGTCCCTGCCCCTTATCCCACTTCTCCCCCCAAGGCCATGTGCCTGGTACACATCTTCCCTCAAGGCCAGCCACTTCTGCACCTATTCCCCCAAGACACAGCCCCTGCTCCACCTCTTGCCTCTATGCCCCACTCCCTTCTCCGCCTCTTGCCCCAAGTCCCCGCCACTGCTGCTCACTCTTTTTCTCCCATCCCCGTCACTCGCTGGATCACCTCCACCTCCCCCCCGCAGTTGGACTCCATCTGCTAGGAAGCTGGGCTGGGAGCTGCTGCAGCCTGACGAGTATGCAGCGCTGGGGCTGACAGGCCAGTCGGGATTGGAGAGGGAAGCCAGGAACCCGTATAAAAGCAGCTGAGGTTTGGGGGAAGGGCTGTGTGGCAGGCAGGTGAGATTGTGAACCACACAGCTTGTGGGCCCTAAAGCTCAGACTCAAAGTCCTGAGGGAAGAGACCATTGTGTGGCTTATTTCCTTAGCTTTCAGCTCCCCTTTGTTCCTCCCGGCTGGGGGCCTGTAGAAGGCCGGGTCCCTGCAATGGGGATGGGCTGGGAGCCCTTTGCCCTGAGCCAGGCCTTGGGAGCAGGGCAAGGGATCAGCTTTGAAGGTAGGAAGACAACAGCTGAGAGAGGCAGAAGGATAAACCCCTGCATTCGCTGGGAAGATGGGAGGCTGGGCAGAGGCCGGGGTGGCATCGATATCTCACAGGGCAGGAGATAAACAGCACACCTGCCATTAGCCGGCTATTTACACAGCTACACGGCACCTTATCTGTAACTACAGGGGACACATTGTCCAGGGGCCGAACCTGAACAGTGAAGCTGAGTCTAACGTATGCTCTGCGTCAGACTTTTAATCACTACATTTAGAAACTCTGTAGCCAGGCTGCCAGGCAGCGTTATCCCCGTGTCATTGAGGGACTGAGCCATGCAGAGGTAAAGTGATTTACCCAAGGCCACACAATGAGTCAGTGGCAGAGCTGAGAATAGAAACTGGGAGTCCTGCCACCGCCACCCCCGCAGCACCATTGCTCTGGCCATGAACTGGCGTTGCTCCTCTGGGTTGTATGAGACACACTGAGGCTATTTGTGTCTCATGATCAGTGGAGTTGCAGTTCTTAAACAGGAGGAATTTATTAAAGAAATAGCTACAAATTGTGGCCACAAAACAGGTTTCCACACAGCTCAGTCTTCAGCCTTGTCTTGCTTGTTTACCAGGATGACACACTACCTGGAACTCTGCACAGCGCATACAGCCCAATGATGTTCTGCAAGGAACCACATCAGTGCAGTGTGTGACTCAACAGCCCTGATTAGGGCCCTTCGGTAGCAGAACACTAAACATAATAAATGGTCATCTTCGATCCCAGCTCACTGGTCTCTGCTGATGCTTTATCTCTAGTTAAATGACTTGGGCTAAATACTCAAATGATGTAAGTGGGTGCATGGACTAAACAAGCCAGGCCTGAGAGAGACTAAGCAAGGGATTGGCAGCTAGGGACTTGTTGGCGATGTTCTTGGCTCAAGACACTTCCTTTCATGCTGCCTCAGTTTCCCCCTCTGTAAGAGGGGGATCCCTCCTGGGAGTAGTGAGCAATAGTCTGTGAAGCACCTGTCAGTGGTGTCCATGTGTCCCTGTGCCTCAGTAGGATACAGCTGAGGATGCCAGATTCAGAACAAACTGCTGAGAAATAGGGCAGATTCATACCAGACTGGTGGTTGTTCTATCGTTAGATTACGCGAAGTGAGGAACAAAAGTAAACTTCTGTCTCACCACCCTGGTTAACTAGAAGCCAAAAATGCAGTGTCCTGAGGCATCCCGGCCCTTGACTCATCACCCGGACTCTGGACACCATGATGAGCAGTCAGTGAAAATCAATTTCACCACATATAGTGTCCTAATCTCAAGAGACACTTAAGGTTAAATAATAAAAGAAAAGAAGAAGAGATATAAATGGTTCATAGATCAGATATATCCAAGCGGTTTTTCAGTGTTCAGAGATAAGTTTCATAGCAATGATGCTAGCTTGCAAAAGTCTCTCTAGAAGTTACTCAAGCAGTGGGGTCACCAGTCCTTGTTCAGAGCTTCCTTATTGGAAACCCAGTGCAGAGAAATGAAGATGAGATGAGTCCAGGGTCACAGGAGCATATTCCATATCCTTACATGCTCTCATGACTCTCAGGATCAGCCATTTCCCATATTCTTGCAGAGGCGCATTTCTTCTATGGCCCTTTGTAATCGCTAAGTCTCCTCCAAGGGCCATCAACATATAGCCTTATCCACCCGAGGGGTGTTACACAGGAATACAACACATAGAATCATAGAATCATAGGACTGGAAGGGACCTCAAGAGGTCTGCTAGTCCAGTCCCCTGCACTCATGCCAGGACCAGCACCATCTAGACAAGCCCTGACAGGTGTTTGTCCAACCTGATCTTAAAAATCCCCAATGATGGAGATTCCACAACCTCCCTGGGCAATTTCTTCCAGTTCCTAACCACGGTGACATTTAGGAAGTTTTTCCTAATGTCCAACCTAAACCTCCCTTGTTGCAATTTAAGCCCATTGCTTCTTGTCCTATCCTCAGAGGTGAAGGTGTAAGATACCAGTAGATTGTCAATAATGATAACATCAGACACAAAGTTGATACAGGCATATAAACAGGATAATTATACTTAGAAAAAATGGCCCTATTCAATCATACAGCATCACACCATATCCTTGTCCCCTGATGGTGCTATAGCTGTTAGCCACCTAAGGAAGGGGCATTGCCCGGGGTCTATCAGGGCAAGCAGCTGGGACACCAGAGCCACTGGAGAATGGGAAGAGCAGATAAAAACTGTTTTACAGCAGGGAGCCTGGTCCTTGTACAAAGAAAAAAGGAAAAAGCTTTTAAAAGTGAGAGGTGGACGTCTGTGAACTTGGCTGTTTCCTCCAAGCGTCGCCAGACAGCCCCCCTGGCTTTCAACAACCTTAACTTGTGTTTGACTAAAGCATCTTCCAGAAAGGCGTCCAGGGCTAGATCCACAGAGGCACTCAGGTAAATACTGAACGTAGGCACCGCTGCCTTTCTCAACCCCCCGGCTCATCTTCTGCCTGACCCTGCAGGAGCCTACGGTTCCGCCAGTAGCCTGCACAAAGCAACTCGAGTGCTGACGCTGCTCCACAGCTCATAGGCACCAACTCTGTGTTTGCTCCAGGGCTGGAGCACTCATGGGGGAAAAAAACAGCTGCTTAGCACCTATTGGCAGCCAGCTTCTCACCCACCAGCAGTCCTGCCAATCAAATCCTTCCAGTGCCTCCCACCCACCACAGATCAACTGTTCTTCGGCATGCAGGAGGTGCTGGGAGGGAGGGGGAAGAGTGGCGATGGGATGATGTCCTAAACATACAGCTAAGGGTAGCATAAAATCCCTCTTTACCCTGTAAAGGGTTAATTCCTCTTTTACCTGTAAAGGGTTAAGAAGCTCAGATAACCTGGTTGGCACCTGACCAAAAGAACCAATAAGGGGAGAAGATACTTTCAAATCTGTGGGGGAAGGTTTTTGTTTGTCTCTTTGTTTTGTTCTCTTCGAGTCAGCAAGGAACATAAGTGATCTCTCTCCTGCCATCCATCTCCATCCTCTGACAGACAGAGGCTAGGGACACCATTCCTTACCCGTCCTAGCTAATAGCCATTAATGGACTTAACCTCCATGAATTTATCCATGAAGAACTTCCTTTTATTTGTTTTAAACCTGCTGCCCATCTCAGAAAAGATATACTGGCACTAGAAAAGGTTCAGAGAAGGGCAACTAAAATGATTAGGGGTTTGGAACAGGTCCCAAATGAGGAGAGATTAAAGAGGCTAGGACTTTTCAGCTTGGAAAAGAGGAGACTAAGGGGGAATATGATAGAGGTATATAAAATCATGAGTGATGTGGAGAAAGTGGATAAGGAAAAGTTATTTACTTATTCCCATAATACAAGAACTAGGGGCCACCAAATGAAATTAATAGGCAGCAGGTTTAAAACAAATACAAGGAAGTTCTTCTTCACGCAGTTCTTGTGGAACTCC